AGAGTGCTTGGATCCGTATCTTCCACCGGCTCTTTTGCTGCATGATCTGCTGGAAATAAGAAAGCTTTATCACTGCATAATCCTCAAAATATTTCTGTCTGGCAATTCATATTTTGCTTCCTTATCTGACCAAGATAAAGCACACTGTGCTGCCATTACGTGCATTATGTCAAGTTACATTTTCACAAGAAAATATGACAAACTAAGAAATGTCAGAGCTACTAGCACATAGATTAGAAACAGCTACACGCAACAAGGAAACCCAACTCCAAGCTAACAAAAGCTAGACTGAAATGAAGATTCTAAATTAGTTTTAGTTAAAAAAAAAAAAAAACCACAAAACAATTCAGCAATAAAGAATAAAATCCAGTAAATCTGCTAAAAACTAAGTTTTGTTCTCTGAGTGGAAGCACTCTGTTTTTTCCTTAGAGCAGTAATTCAAACAGTAAACATACCCACTACAATAAAAATTAATGCTATAATAACCAGCAGGCTGTAGTACAAAACCTAAGAAAAAAATATATTTGAGGTAAACATTAATTATTTGTATACAATATTCATAAACTTTAATTATATTAGCATCAAAAGGATACAAAAATAAGTCTTCAAAGCACTTGCAGGTGAATCATTAAATGTCAACCCCTCTGCACCAATGGTTAAACTGATAAATAATAGTGGGGTGCTGACCAAAAGTGCACAGAGAATCTGAAACAAATTTCATACAGAAGTCAGGATTCGCACCACCACTCCTGTAATTTAACATCATCGTGCCATTTCCTCGAGGAACCTCTTCTTCTTCTAAGTATCATGTTTTTAAAAACAGAAAAGTATTTTAAATTATGTTGCAGGATTTTCACTCCATTCTTGTCAGTCTCATTCTAAAAGTCCCTATACTTACTACAAGAACACATTAAATATTTTCAACCACAACCAGAAGGAGGTGGTTGGAATCAATATTTGGTGATTACCTTCCCCCAAATATAGAAATAAGTGCATTTTAGAACACAATTTAGTCCCAGAAACAAATTACAAAATTCCCAGTATAAATACTGAGCCCCAAAACAGCACAGAAGTTACACAGACACTATTCTAACCAACTCAAATTTAGCTCAATTGTTTATTTTGGGGCCTGCTCCTACAAATCAATACAATAGAACAACAAGCTAAAGCATAAGATGACACAAGACAGTAAAATAAACAGGCCTGAAAATAAAAAAGGTTGCAGTAGTGGGACAGAAGCAGCCCCAGGGCTCCAGGCCAGAGATATTCTCCCTCCTGCTTCTGCGAAGCAGCCCCATCAGCAGCAGGTCCTGCATGACCAGCGCGTTGCCCAGCCCCCCTCTGCAATGACAGGAAGAGCCTTTCTCAGTGCTAGTGCCCGCAGGAAGACCACACACATTCTCCAGGCAGGTGGCGCACAGTCAGAGGGGTCAGATCTACAAGGCTGGAGCACAGCCTTTGCACACAGACATGCTGAATGTTTCAAAAAGGCAGAGGTGTTTGAAATTTCAGATGAGCGTGTCCACACTGCAATGCAAAGCTCAGGAAGACACAGGCAGAAGAGGGAAAAAAACCCAAATCAAAACCCCGTATTCTTGTCACACATACCCTTTTTGGTAAATATTAAATCCCTGCTCCAGAAACATGGTATTAACAGAACGTTCTGGATAAAGACTTCCCTGATGGCAAGGGCCAGCACAAACCACCATAAGCTTCTCAACTCAAATGCAGAGAAGATGGCAGTCAGACTGGGATATGAGAAAATACAGAAAGCTAGCATACGACACTGCATGAAAGTAGGGGCAAAAATGGAGGATCCAAGTGGGAACTGTATCCGAGAGCTGCAAAAAAAATGGAAAGGGAGCTGGGGCAAAGAGAGAAGCCCACCCTGTAAAGGAACACTGGAAAAGGAGAGGTACTGGGAGCCAAAGAAAGGCTCCAGGGAAGAAGGCCATTCCAGGCATGTTTCTCTGCTGTCAGCAAAGGCCGAACAAACCCAGTGTCAGCTTGTTCTGGAGGCCTTATAGCTCCTCCTTATGGATTCTTGGCTGAGTTAATTTTTTTTTTTATTTTTATTTTGCCCTTGTAATATAAGAGGAACCTAAGGTAGATGAAAGCAGACCCCATAGAAGGTCACGCCCAGGTGAACTTTGGTGGCTACTGTAGCTATGGTAAGGGCTTTTATTTATTTTCTGTCACACCTCCAAGATACAGCCAAGGTACATTGCAACACTGATAATTATCTACTTTCCACAATCCAGAGGGAAGCACTGAAAAAATGGGAGAAGCTCCAAGAATATGGGCCTTTGAAGTAAGGATTTGATAGACTCCAAGGTGACCCTACAAGAGGTGATGGGGTACAGGATGGTATTCAATTGACTCCAGCTTTCTAGGTCTCACACAGAAACACAGTCACCGCGAAATCTGTGACTCTGCATCTTTTTTGCTTAGTATTCATCCTGAAAAATATTTTTAAACTGTATTTCT